CTGTAGCGACCACCGCGCCGGCGCCCACCACTCCTCGGACCCCGACCCCGGTCCTCCCCAGCAGCAGCCGCGCCCCGCCCACCTCACCTGCCACCGCGGCTCCCCAGCAGCAGCAGCGCCCCGCCCACCTCACCTGCCACCGAGGCCCCCTCTCCTACGCCCCCAGGTGAGTCCCAGCCCCTCCTCGCTTGCAGGACTCTGCCCAGCGTCTGCCCATCCGTACCCGGCCCCGGGCCTCGAAGGTCGGGCTCCTGGCTGGAATTGCTTGTTTCTTGCCCCAAAGGCTCCCCAAATTTCGGCTCTCGGGGGTGGGGGGGTGGGTGGGTCCAAGCTCCATCTGGCCCCATTCGCCCTTCCCCAATCTGGAAAGTCTTTTGTCCCTCCTGGGCTGTGCTCCCTGGAAAGGGGGCGTCTGCGGTGTGGACAGCATCACATCTTGCAAACACGGCTTTCTGGCCTTTGTCAGAGACCCAGAATGGGCGCAAACTTTTGGTTGGGTTCGCTCACCCAGCCTCCTCGTCTGGGTTCTAAGTTCGAAAGCCAGCATAGGACCTCTTTCAGTGAGTCAGAAGCTGAGTACGAGGGATTCCTCTCCAAGCTCCAGTTCCCTTGTTTATTTCTTCTTGTTTATGTAAATATCAGGTGTGTGTGTGCGTGAGAGAGAGACAGGTGGAAGAGCTATTGAGGATTTTGCTTATAAACAGTAGTACAGGTAACTTGAGGCTAATAAAAGTAAAAAAAAAAAAAAAAGGCACTGTGATCTGTGTTTTCCCTGCAAATAAGTGGATTCAGTAGGTCATTTGGGACAGGTGTGTATCTAGGTTGAGTACATTTATAAATTAGGTTAAATTCTTTCCTTGCACTGTTTTTTTTTCTTCTTCTTCAATTACAAGGTCGCTATGTTTGGACAAATATGTAATTTAAGTAGGGATGCCCGTTTTTGTCACTTTAAGCTAGAATGTTCAATTTTGCCAATGCTGATTAATGCCAATTTTTGTTTGAGTCTGGGCATAAAACCAGGCTCTTCTTCCTACTGGTTGAAGTCTTCAAGTGAAGTTACAACTCCTATTCTTTCCCCCTTTATCTAAAATGGGCCTGAAACTAAACATATAAAACTTACCTTGTCAAGATGTTGGAAAAGAGTTTCTGAGTTCTTTTGCCTTGCATAGGTGTGGAGATTCGTGGAAACCATTTGTCTAGCTGGATCTGTGACCTAATTCTTAGGCTCACTGATTTACGGTGGAGTCAGGTATAGACTTGGGACTGTAATTGAGTTTGCAGACTTTTCCCACTTAGTTATGAGCCTTAATACAGTCTTGAATCTTGCATCAAAAGTTGGCAATGATATAAGTAGGAATGCAGATTAATCACTCATAAAAAGCCAAGATTGTATCTCTTCCAGTTTCAAGGAATGTATTGACTAGCTGGGTTTTACCTGTAACCCTTGCTGGAGTTCATATAGAGAGACTGGCATATTGTGAGCGACAGGAAGCATAGGAGTTGAGAGGGTGGATTCCAAAGTCCATTCTCAGGTTAGAATTCTGTCTCTGCTCCTTGTTAGCTGTAAGCTTGGGCCGGGCACTTAACCTCTCTGGCTTTAGTTTCTTCAACTGTGAGATGAAGATGTTAATGGTACCTACTACACAGAATTGCTGTGAAAATGGGGTAAGTAAGTACAGTGCTTACAACAAGTCCTGGTCCAGAATGAGCACTGCGTGGTGTGAGTCCTGCTACGAGCAGGCTTTATGTATTTATTTTTCTTTAATAAAAAGCATTTGAGAAACCTAGGAGGGACTTGTACTGCTTTTTGGTAAAGTACAATACTTAGAAAAAGGATGAATTAGATTCTCCAGAATTTCAAGCACATAGTATTTATATAGCCAGGTCACTCTCTTTGATTAGTATCTGATAAATAAGTCTCTGTGTAATTCATGTTATTTTACTTTTATTATTTTTGTATCATTATTCTTAAACCACAAAGATAACCCTTTACTGGCCCAAAATACGAACAACTAGAAGTGTACAAAGGAAAAAGTGGAAGTCTTCTTTGCTGCCTGCGAGATCTAGTCAATCCCTAGAGGTTACTACTCTTAGTAGTTGGATCTCTTTTCAAACATTTTTTTTTCCTGAGTATATATTAACATAATCTCACAGAGTATTTTTAAATAGCTTTTTAAAAAAATCAACATGGAATAATCCCATACATGTTGTTTTGAAACTTGCTATATTCCCCCTAACTGTGGTATCCTGTACTTTTTTCATGTCAATACCTAGTGTCTACCTTTTTCTTTTGAAAAGTTGCATTTCCCATTGTAAGAATGTATCCATTCATTTAACTAAACCTTATTATAGACACTTAGATTATTTCTGGGATTTACTTCCAAAAGCACAGAGAACAATGTGTAATTGTTAAAGTCCATCCTGTATTTATTATAATCTCTAATACTTTGGAATTTCTTAGAATTCCAATCAATTTCAAGTGAAGTAAAGTTGTGCTGATTAACATTTGCCCCCTGAAAGGTTGTTCAAGGCTTTTAATCACTCCCATGGGCTAGCATCTGTTTATAGGTTTGTGGTGGTCTGCGAGTGACATAAGTTCTATGGGGTCGTCGGAAAATTCATAACGTATTTGCTCTGTTTTCCTGTGCAAAGATGCATCATGACTTTCCCAACGACCCAATAGAAGGATGTCCAATTTCAGTAACCCTCCTGTGTTTTAAGTATTCTGCAGTGTGTGCTCTTCTGTGAGTCACTCTAGTTTGCTCATGTCTAATTCTCAGCAACTGAACCGGGTTTGTGTGCCTACTGATAGGCAGTTTTAGCTTTATGGTGAAATAGTCAAGTACCTTTTATCTGATCAAGGACATCAGGCTGTTTCAAACAGTGAACATATCTCTTTGGCAGAAGGAAAACTTGTCATTGAGCTTGAGAAAGCTAATTTGGTTTGCAGAGTTGGCATTTGGGAAGGTGGTTGTGCAGGATTTTTCACTTCAGTGTTCAGGTAAGGACTGAGTGCCGTCGAGAATATATTATTTGATTACATAGGTCTTATAGCTGCTTTTGGAGTTAATAATTTCTTTCATGGGGTTCTAGCTGAGAACCCTTGCCTGCGCCTCAATTAGGGCCTCTTTTTGTTTACAGGGACACTGATCCGCAAACTGAAACTAATTGCCCAGCAAGAAGGCACTTTCCTCCCGCAAACTAGGCAAAACATTTGGTTTGGTTGGCTGGTTAGTGCATTTTAAAGAAAGATGCTATGATTCTAGAGAATAATAATCATCGTTAGTAAGACACTGAGATAATAACGGATGTTTGATTTTTAAACTATAGACCTTTAGAGCTAAATCGGACCTTAGAAGCTACTGTTTCCTAATGTGGCCCTACAACAGCAGAAATATGTCCGTAGGCTTAGCTGAAATATTTTTCCTTGCAGTTAACAGTGAGTAGCTTGGTTCTGCCCTTTGGGGCCATGCAGAACAAGCCTGCTTTCTTTGTGCCATGACAGTTGTTTGGGGACTTGGGGACAATAACCATGCTTCCTCTGAGTCTGGGCTAAATATCTTCAACTCCTCCAACTGGTCTTGATATGGCCTGGTTTCAAATTCTCTCACTATCCTGGTCACTTCTCTTTGGGCTTTTTCTGTCTTTTTTGTGTTTCTCCCAAATCATGGGATAGAGGTGAACATAAATATTTAAAATGTGCTCTAAGGAGCTTGTAGCAGAGGGCAGTTACCTCGTTCTTTCTGGATGTGATACTGCTGTTGATGTAGTAGTCCCTAATCACAGCAGTGTTTTTGGCAGCCACGTTGTGTTGTTGACTCACTGAGTAGCTAAACTTTTAAAAATTTTCTACTTTTTACTATGTGTTACATGAGCCTGCATTCTGGAGTTAGAAATTCTTGTCATTTTCTAAAGTATAACCTGAGATGTTTATTAAACGTACACAATAGTGCTAGATTGAAATCATCCTTTGAGATCCCAAGTCTGGTAGTGTACTCCACCCAGTTTTTTCACATTTACCTACGGGGTGTTCCTACAGACAGAGTCTAAGGACAAGTTAGGGCAGGTTATTCTTACTTCATAGGGGAGAATAAATTTATGGATGAAAAAATAGTTCAGAAGACAAGGGAGACTTTCTCAAGAATCTCTTTCAGCTCTAAAGTTCTGTGATGAATTGGTATACATCATTCAAGGAACATTTATGTCCCCCAAGGAGAATTAATTACTTATTTGTGACTTACGTTATGAAATAGATTTTGTTTAATTAAACCCTAGAAGTTAGTGTTTAAAAACTCTACTACGACATGTAAATAAAATTCACCCATGGATTAAATTGAAACAAACGTTCTGGGACTATAGGGTCACCCTATCTGTCCCAGAAAATGTTTTCTCTGTCCTGACATCTCTACTAATGGGTTCAGGGTCTTATTTATTTGTAATTCTTTAAGAAGATACTATTGGGAACCAGCAGTTAGCGTAATGGCTATGTCGCTGGACTCCCATGTAGTTGACCGCGGTTCGCGACCCGGACCCGGTGGCTTAAAACTCACGCCGGGTGCGTGTGCGTGCGTGCCCAAGATCCCGAGAGGAGAATGAAGGAGAAGGGATTGTGGCGTGACTATTCCCCCTGGGGGGGTTATTCCTCGCTTTCTGTCTCTATGTCTCTGTCTGTCTGGTGAGCGCACGCGCCCTATAGCGAAAAACCTCTCAAAAAAAAAAAAAAAGAAGATACTATTATTTTAAGGAAATTGACACTGTTCACGATCCAAAGGTAATATAGAGCCATAGTCTTTTATCCAAAACCTGTGGGGCTCTGGTAGGCCCCACAGCCTAGTGGTTAAGGGAGTCAGATCCCACATGGCCAACTGTGCAGTTTGGGTCCCTGTCCCAGCACTTGAAAAACAAACCAGGTGTGTGTGTGTGCATGCCCCAAATCCCAGCCCAAATGGAGAAATGGAGAAGAGATTGTGGCATGACCCCACCCCTGACTGTGGGGGTGAGGGCTGGTGGTGGTGGTGGTGTTCTCCTTTGCCTCCTGGCTCTGTGTGTCTGTCTTTCTCTGGCCAGTGCACACTCATTCTGGCAATTAAAAAAAAATCGATGAAGCTGGATGTCTTTAAGAATTTAGACTTTTTCAGATTTCAAGAAGTTAATAAATACATCCCA